TTGAAAATACCTCGAGCATTGTTCTCTCAATTCCCGAATTTGTTAAAAGTGTGGTTATTTGCAAGGGAGAGAAAAAGGTAACCATTGACATTTAAAGAAAGTAAACATGACTTTTTGTGTTCATTTATTATCAACAGGCCTAGGTTGTTGTTTCTCTCATATTCGTGTTCGGGAGTCGAGTCATGTGGAGTTGGATGTCAATAAACATATGAAAACATTGTTGTCGTTTTCCTTTGACCAATGAAAGCCTGTGTGGGCGTGTCATGTAGAGGCATTTAGCCTTGAGTTCTTTTAGTGTCTATTTTGTCAGGAAAATCCGACCGTCTGATTGGTTAAAAATGTAGGTTGAGTTCTAATTACTGTTGGAGATAAAACTTTTGGAAAAATTCTTTTCCCAGGTTTTCGGTCCTCGGATTCATCAGTACACCAAGGAAGGCAAACATAAAAACGTTCGTTCCAGTTTGGGGACCCAAAAACTGCAGTCTACCCCATAATTTCTCATACCAGAATATGCTTACTGAACTATGACTGAGATACACGTATAATGCTTGTTGTTTAACACTGCACTCAAATATTTAAACAATGTGATGGCAGCAAGAAAATAAATAAGTCTGGACCAGACAAACCATTGATTGATATTGTGAGCAATCGTCAGCCATGAAGCCGGGTATGATGACACACATCCATCACGTCAACCAAATCTATTTGGTCACATCCTAGGGCAAGTTCACTTAAAAGGGAAGTGTAAACGCAGAAAAAAACCTTCTTTCTTTTTTGCACAGTGAAAGTAGGAAACCAACAATAAGTTTGAAAATGCCCTTGTTATGCCTCATAGGCCTTCGTTTTCCGAGCCAAACCATTCGTGACCAACTCGTGTTATCCCGGGACAAGCCGGAAAAGGGCGAGTGGTGACGAATGGAGCCAAACAGGCCTGAGTGGGGGGTATATATCTATATTTACTGACCAACACAATATCGAGTTCCTCATTTGTCACCACTCGCCCCTTTCAGTAACCTGCTATTCGGCTTGTCTCGGAATAACAGGAGTTGGTCACGAATGTCGAGTTCCTGTGCTTCGTAGCAGTATGGCTGCGGTCACGTGACTTTGTAGATAGTTTAAATTATCAACGTTTTCTTCCTGTGACTCTTTTAAAAAGGCATTCCGTGGCGGTATATTACATGTCAATTAGGAGTTCAATTATGACATTTCTTCAATTCCATATCTAGTCACACACGTTGTTGCATTGGGCAGAAAACCTCCTCTGAATTTCATCAGTTTTCTGGCCGAATCCAGCTACAATTTGACCACACAATGCGTCACTGTCAGCTGTCAAAGAACCAAGGCCACAGAGTTCAAGTACAGGTGGTATGACGTCATCATCGCCAGTTCTGACGTCATAAGTTTCAAGACGTCTGTGACGTCAAAGTCCATTGGGCTACGTTTTACTACTTTCTATAGACATATACCTACACAAATAGTATCGTGCATGTGCTTTTTTATTGAACAAATGCTCAAACAAGGAGAGCGCCGACAACAACATGTAGATCATTCATGCACTGGCTGAATTGTGTCCCTTTTATCTGTCGCAAAATCACAAGGAGATTTGAAGACATCCGCAACTCACTGTATCATCCCACAGAGTAAACTCTGCAGCAAGTCTTTTCCCAACACCAGTGGTCACGAATGGACAAGCCACAGTTTGTATATTTGCGCCCATAGCCTAGCAACAATTAAATTTACTATGTCCTATTCCTTTCGCGAACATATCACTGTGTTTTACTTAGGATATTTAGGATACAGACCTGTGAAAATCCGGTAGAGAATAGGTCAACCCATGCTTGCCCTAAAAGGCGACAATGCTTGTCGTGAGAGGCGACCAACGGGATCGGGTTGTCAGGCTCGCTGACTTGGCTGATGCATGCCATCGATCCAAACTGCGTGGATCGAGGCTCATGATATCAATCACTGGATTGTCTGGTCTAAACCTTCCAACATGTTGAGGTTGGTTGCTTGGTTTGTTGTTTTACGCCGCACTCAGCAATATTCCAGCTATATGACGGCGGTCTGTAAATAACCGAGTCTGGACTAGACAATCCAGTGATTAATATCATGAGCATCGATCCACGCAATTAGGATCGATGACATGCATCAACCAAGTCAGCGAGCCTGACCACCCGATCCCATTAAGCGCCTTTTACGACAAGCATGGGTTGCTGAAGTTCTATGCTACCCCTGAATCTTCACTGGTCACACGTTGAGGTAAAACTAGGAAAATTAATAGGGTCCGCTGTCCAATGGTACCTATGTGGTAATGCCAGCTTTCCAAATCCTGAGGCAAAGGAATACAACATTGTTGGAAACTAAGCAGAAACCCTAGACATTCAAAGATGAACTCTCATTCACTCTCAACTGTAAAACTTTTTTTATGTTTTCTCTTGGCCGATGACCCAAGTAATATTGACCCGGAAGTTGTCATAACGCCACCCATTCTATTTGTCGACTCCGCTTTCCCGGACCCACATGGCTATACAAAGACGACATGGCACAAAACCATGGCCCACGTACTTCCACGTGGCACATCATTGCAATCCATCACTCAAGACGTCAACACCAAACCCTAGAGGCACCAAAGGGCACTCTCCCCCCCCCCCCCCCCCCTCAAACACAAACTCCGCCTAGCGACAGCTTCCTAAACACCACAAAGCGACCAATCGTATTCGTCTGTATCCCCAAGTAGTTAAAACCTTGCGTCCGTCTTCACACGCAGCGCGTTCTTTGTTGCTTTACAAGAAGCTTTCCAAGTCACGTATTCTTTGAAAAAAATCTATAAAAAAACAAAACTATCGTCCGCTGTTGACCCTCTCCACTTTCAGCCATAATCAAAGCTTCCTTTTCAAACACAAATTACTTACAAATATCTTAAATTCAGCTTTCTTTCATTCCAGTCTATTCTTTCTTTCTTGTTTTTTCATTTTTTATTTATTTTGTTACAATTTTGTTTCTCATTGTCATTTATATTTTCTGCATGTGTGTTGTGTATTTGTTTTTTTGGCGTTGAGACGTTTTTGCCGTTAAATGCAGCATCAACACTCTTTTGAATTAAGTCACAAAAATACCAGCCACATAAAGAAACTGTGCACGGAGAAAATATAGATATAAGGGCACACCGTCCATATATGAAATATGGGTTTGAACACAGCAATTATTGGAGACATTCAAACGCTCATGCACGTGCCATGCGATATGACGTCATTAATGGGGCCTATGGACGTGCAATGTGTTACTGCACGTGCATCCTGTGCAGCTGTACACAGCATGTGCAACTCAAAATTCGCTGTCACTTTGGAAAGCATGATCTGTGGTCATTCAAAAATTCAAAACTTCTCAGGCGCAGACACAAGCATATCACAAGCAAATCATGCCAAGATTGACAGCTGCACAGCGTCATGAAGCCATTGGAATGATCCGAGCGGGAATGAGGCAACAACAGGTGGCAACACATTTCCAATGCCATCGTAACACGATATCGGCATTGGTGAGGCGTTATCAGAACACAAATGACGTTGCCGACCACCCACGTTCAAGACGTCCCCGAGTAACGACGTCAATACAGGACAGATGGATTCGACACATCTCCTACACAGGTTCCAAACGGCAGTAACGACGTCCCAGACAAATACCTGGACTGCGCCGTATCCATCCCAACACTCTCAGGAATCGTTTACGTCAGTTCGGGATTCGACCACGACGCCCTGCCATACGTCCCATCCTGACACACCGTCATCGAGTCAACCGTCTAAGATGGTGTCGAAATCATGTTCGCGAACCTCGAATATGGTGGAGAAATGTTGTCTTTACAGATGAATCGAGGTTCAATATTTCCCACAGTGACGTGCGCCAACGTGTCTACCGGCATTTGGGAGAACGTTATGCACGCAACTGTATTGTGGAGAGGAATCGTTTTGGAGGTGGCTCTGTGATGATTTGGGGTGGGATAATAGCACGGCACCGAACCCCTTTGGTGGTTGTTCAGGGCAATCTCACCGGTGTTGGCTACAGAGATCAGATTCTGAGGCCTGTGGTCATTCCTTTCCTGCAACATCATGGCCCGGGATTGACATTTCAACAGGACAACGCTCGTCCTCACACGGGTAGGGTCGCAATGGATTTCCTTCACCATAACAATGTCATGTTACTGCCATGGCCTGCAATTTCTCCAGATCTCTCTCTAATAGAGCATGTGTGGGATGAAATGGAGCGCCGTCTGCGTCGTCTTCCACATCCTCCAGATAACGTCCGTGACTTTGCACAGGATTTGAGGAGGATATGGCAGGCCATTCCCCAGGCCTTCCATGCCCATTTGGTGGACTCCATGCGTCGCCGATGCACTGCTGTGATTCACGCACAGGGTGGTCAGACCCGTTATTGACTTTGTGATTTTGTCGTTTGACCCCCTACTCCATTTTGATCTTCTGACGTCATCGTAACAGATGTTGTTCAGGTCCCGTTGACATTTTCTTATGGTCCGATCATTCAGCTGCTACTGCGTCTGCATCATTTTGTTCTTGCTGTGTTGTATTTCAATCCAGAATATATTTTCTCCGTGCACAGTTTCTTTATGTGGCTAGTATATTATAACACTTCTTCTACTCTTTTGGGACTCTTTATTTCTTTAAATCTATCTTCACATGTGTTCTCTTTTTCTGTAAAACAAATTAATGCAAACTTGAGTTTGTCTTCTATATTTTCTGTGTGACCGTTATTACTTTTTAGTTGTGACCGTTTTGACTTTACCTTTCGAGGCCGTTTTGACTACAACTCCTTGTAGACTCGCCGATCGTTACGATAGAATTGTTTTTATAAAATCCTTGAACTTATCAGCAGACATAATTCATTACAGCCTTGGAGCAAGGCTAGCCCACCACCGAAACACACTGTTCGGCCATTCGGCACCGCTCGCCCATTTCCGTAACCCGGAAGCAAGCAGCAAACACCAATCACAAGCGAGTTCACGAATGGAAAAGGTGTTTGCCTCCATCACATGGTCGTTGAATCTTGTGGCAGGCATCACCACACACACGCGTGCTCGCTCGGTCTTGTCGCATCTCCATCGCAGGTCAGGACTGTTAGGCACATGCATCTGCAGGTTAGTCCATTTATATCTTTCACTCGACATTCTTTTTTCTTGCTCACGCCAGAGACCATATAATGGTCTCTCAGCAATTCTCATGGCAAGAGGAGGTAACTCTTCCTGCACTTATTCTCAAAGCTAGTTTACCACACCTCGGAGGGTCGGTTCCGAATTCAATCTCTTAACTCCTTGATTAACGCAGAAAGCGGAAAAATCAGCGTACATCACAATCTATAGGGTAAAGGTTGCGTGCGTATTTCATAAGCTGGTATTTTTATCCCCCGCCCCAACGAAGTTGGCGGGGATATACAAATGGGTTCCGTCCGTGTGTGTGTGTGTGTGCGCGCGCGCGCGCGCGTGTGTGTACATGTGTGCGTGTGTGTGCGTGCGTGTCTGCGTGTGTGTGCTTGCGTGTGTGTGTACATGTGTGCGTGTGTGTGTGTGTGTGTACATGTGTATGTGCGTGCGTGCGTGCGTGCGTGTGTGTGTGTGTGTGTGCGTCCCGAAATCGTTTCCGGAGCATAACTCAAAAACCGTTAAATAATTTCTTACAAAACCTTGCATGTTTACCAGACACATACTGAACTGGTGCCTTTTGATATTTAGCACTTTTAGAAAGTTTTATTGTTTATGTTTCCATGGCAACAAGTTTCACTTAGGTTCTATTATAGGGTGGGTTCACTTATGGAGTATGACAAATAAACTGTTAAATATTTCCTTGCCAAACATTGCATGTCTATATATAAAGCACATACTGAACTGGTGACATTTGATATTAAGGAGTTTTAGAAATGTATATTTTAGAATTTCCATTGCAGCTATTTTGACATGGGCTAAGAGAAATGTTGGGTCAGTTACCTGGTTTAACGTGTTAAAATAGGCGGGGGATATAGATGACTTCGTCGACCATACGCTTGTTAGAATTGTCTTCGAAGTTGAGTTTCATTGATTAAGTCAACAGTTATTCTTGAAACTATCAATTCAGCCGAATACGCGGTTTTAAATAGGTGTATTCTCTTCTGCAATCATATTTAATAATTTCCAGTGTGTTTTAGATTTAATTTATAAGGGACAATATATAAAAGAAAAAAATTAAATCGGACCCCACCCTATTTCTATTAACGGTATGCGGTTTTTACATAACTACGCAGTTACTTCCCTTCGGACCAACACGATCGAATTTACTACAGTATTTTTTTAACAATCCAGCTACAATCCTCGCAATTTGAAATGTTATATGTAAGTATGTTGTAAAGGAGAATATATTTATGACATTGGGGTATTTTGTGCACTGTAAATTTCGCAATGACAAACTATGATATGTGTTTAAAGTTTCACAACAAACTTTGTCCGGCTGAACCATTTCAGTTTTTTCACATTGTCAATCACGTGTTTGTGACTAAAACATGTTTATTATCACTAAAGAACATAGTTTCAACGTAGTTAGGAGGATCAATTATGTTGTGATGTGTTACAACAAATAACTCAATTTATGTTTTAATTAATGTAAAGTACAGTGTGCTTGTATGAAATATTGTACAGCAATGATTCATGGGGGGTGGGGTGGGGCAGATAGGGTGATTGTAATAATCTTCCCACCCCACCCCACCCAACCCCACCCAACCCCACCCCACCCACACACCCACCCCATGCTCTATCTAATGTATATAAGTGTGTTATATTTAGTGCACAGTCTGTTATATATATATAAAAAATTGTCAATTTATTTGATTGTGCCAATTTTCATTTTAGTAATGGTTTATTACTGAGAGATTGTGAATCAGTAACATCAACCTATTCTGTTATATATATATATATATCAACAATTGTCAATTTCTCAATGTTTGTCAGAAAATGATAAGGTTGCACAGTGGCTTCATGATCATTTTGAGTGTGAACTTTGTGAGCAAAAAAACTTCTTCAAGAGAAACATTGATGTAAAAAAAGATTAAAATATTTACTCATTACGGGATAAATGACTTTGATAGGTGTTGAGAATTAACTGTTACTTGAAAGCTCCTCACAGCGATAGTACGTTCCCGGAGCTCTGTTACCGAGAGTGTAACGAAGGTGTCACGCGCTGGGAAGGAGCTTGTGTTACTTGAATGAAAGGGAGGTAACTCTTGTATCTGTCTGTTACAGTTGGCTTATTCACTCACCTTAAAAAAATACAAAATCAGATTTTAGTACCGAAATAATGTAATTAATATTTTCATTAAATATGTTTTCACCTCAGTACACAAAAAGAATTAGTTTGAATAATGCTATAGCATTGTTTTAGAATAATGGAAGGCTCTGCACACACAAGTCCATGGTCCACCACTGTATGGAGCTCAGGGGCGTCTGCTACACCAAAATATGATATTTCCTTACAACTATAAATGAATGCCTTTGTCGTCATTACAGGTTCTACTACACTAAATCAGAACCGGTTGGGACAGTGTGGTTTTTCAGCCTTCAGTGCAGATCGAGAGTCATCTGCAGGCTGTGATTTGATGGTATTGTGTAAGATTTTTATGTCTTTTAAATGTACATCCATCCAGTAATTAAAACTGACCATATTTTTCAATATTTAATTTGGTGCTGACCTTTTCAACAAGTTGACTTGTGCTTTATGTGAGCATAGCTATTTTCAAGTAGGTGACATTTGGTGCGAAACTGGGGGTGGTGTGTTTAGCTTCCTCTACTCAGAAAAGGAGCTGGCTAAGCTGGTCATTTTTAATGTTTTTATTGCTACTCTAAGGCCAAACTGTGCACACACGTACAGGTTATAGCTGTTGAATTCTTAGTTATTTTTAAAAGAAATATAACTTTACTATAGAAGTCAATGGAAAACATTTGGTTGTGTGTAACCTGTAGGGTGAGTGCACATTTCAGTAATTCCTACTTTACATGCTTTCCTGTTTATATTTCACCATGGATACACCATGGAGGCAAATTTAAAAATAATGACAGTGAAGTTGGGGACATTTTGGGTTGAATGGAGCATTTGGATGGCCTGGAAATGAATGTTGCTTCATATTGTGGTCGAACTCAGCACGAACCCCCAGGGTACCTCTGTCCAACAAGCCCTCCTCCTGCCTTCTGAATTTGTTGAAACTGATGAATTTGACAACAAATTAGGATAAATTCACCACTGCAACAACAATTTCTGCCTTGTGTCAATCGCTTGCCAGTCAAGTTACGCAATGCCGTTATCTTGAGTATGAAGCATGTACACTGCTGACAGCAGAATATGTCACAAATCCCCTTATTTATAGTAAACAATGTAGCATACCAATATATCTTTCTGTTAGGTGCTTTTGTGTGAATGAAAGATTTTTCTATTAAGTTTCCTAAAACAGACTTATTTTTCACTCATATGACTTTCAAATATTTATTTTGTTCCCTCAAGAACTGACTCCTGGCTGTTATATCCAAACTGGTTTGCCATTTGATATTGTCTGAACACTTTTTTTCAGCTTTTAGCATGCCTGATGTTGACTGGGGAGGTATATGTGCACTCATGCAGGAGAAGTAGAAGTTTTCACATCCAATTTGGCATTTAGAGAAGCTGATCTGAAGTCCGGTGTTGGCAGTGTGTGATCGACAACCCTTGTTTTGCCTTGCTGCGCTCTATTACCTTGTAGACATTGTGGAACTTGGACATGTAGGTACATTAAGTACATTAAAGAAGCCCAGTCCACTTGAGGCCCCTCTGTTGCTCACTATCAAGTCTGTAATAAGATCACACTCATGCACTAGACATTTCTGACAGTGCTCCCTTAATGCCTCACTGTGCATAGAGTAAGGGCTATACACCAGTCCCAGAACCTGCTTAGATGAAAATAATATCCACTGGCTCTTTTGGAATGTAACATTATGGTTCTGAAATCATCTGTAAAGAATGTGATAGTGTTCGACAATACTAAATTATCTCCCCTGTTTAGTAAAATGCATTGTATCTTTCATTCCCCTATAAACCCATAAATTATTGGAGAGAAACACTATTTTAAGCTGGTATTGCATGACACTGTTAATTGTGAATAAAAAGAATTACATTTATGTCAGGATAAGCTGTACATTTTCAAAATTATATGGACTTTTAACTTTGTTTCATTGAAACTGGCAAATAACTGAAATTAGCAAGTTTAGCCACCTTGAAACATTAAACAGTAAGTATGTTTGATGTCCGGTGAGTATTTTAAAGTCTTAACTAAATAAATCAATAGAGTTTAGTGAAATTTCCTTCCATGTTGTGGTTTCAAAGAGCTTTCTTCTACTTGAGCGTCCATTTCCATTTCTTGGCTTTAATAGGCGGTATGGTTCACTGGTCAGTGTTTGAGATTGCTGGCAACAATACACGCTTTTACTTCCTATTTTCTGGTAAAGTTCATTATCCAGCCTAACATATATGATGACTTTAAAGCTGCTTAATGTGTCCCTTGCTTTTTATTGGCCTGAATTCCATGCTCTGTCCAATTTTGAGATTTTTTTTCTGATTCCTTTCCATGTGTACTTATGTCACCAGCCTATATCATAGGTGATTATACTATTGATTTTTGGAGTAAATGAAAGCACAAACATTTGTGATAGCCCCTTCATAGATGATTTACCAAATGCTGACAGCCATTTGAGTGTTTAAGTATATAAACAATGGATGGTGTAAGTTCAAGCAATCTCACACAATATCAATCGCATCAAAAACCAGGGTCAAAACCATATTCAATGAATGTAGCAGACTCTGCTATGTTCTGATGATGTCAGCAAAGGAAGGCAAACAACAGACCACTACTCAATTTTAAATATGTATTGTAACTGGTTTTGAGGTTTAAAGATTTGTTCAATTTTTTTAGTCGAAAAAATATTTTAGGGTGATATGATCTATGCAGCCTCAATCATTTATAGAACTGACCCTTGACCCCTTTCTTTCATGAAATATGAATTAACTCCCATGGTCAGTGCATGAAGGTAGAAACTTCTTTATTAATACAGAAATACCTTTTGTAAAACATTGATGAAATGTACATCGTTAAACTCTCACAACTCTTTCTGTGCGTCAAAACTATGTATTCTAGTGCCATATAGACATGCTGGATAGGAACAAGTAGTGAAGTTTAATCCAATTTCCATTTTTTTCCGAGAAGCTACATATATATACAATACATAAATCACAGATTTGACAAGTGCAAATGTATTCTGATTTGTCTACAGGTTCTACTACACCAAATCAGAACCAGTTGGGACAGTGCGGTTTTTCGTAGGGAGCCTTCAGTGCAGATCGAGGGATATTTGCAGGTTGTGAATGGAGGATATTCTGTAAGATTTTTATGTCTTTCAAATGTACATCCATCCAGTTATTAAAACTGACCATGTTTTTTCTATATTTAGTACTGTCTTTTTCAACATGATGACTTAATTTATAATTATACTGAGTGTGAGCATAGCTATTTTCAAGTAGGTGACATTTGGTGCGAAACTGGGGGTGGTGTGTTTAGCTTCCTGTACTCAGAAAAGGAGCTGGCTAAGCTGGTCATTTTTAATGTTTGTATTGCTACTCTAAGGCCAAGCTGTGCACACACGTACAGGTTATAGTTGTTGAATGCTTAGTTATTTAAAAAAAAATATAACGTTACCACAGTAGTCTATGGGAAAACATTTGGTTGTGTGTAACCTGTACCATCAAGGACATGTGTTCCTGCCTGTTGTCAGACTCTGTACCATCAAGGACATGTGTTCCTGCCTGTTGTCAGACTCTGTACCATCAAGGACATGTGTTCCTGCCTGTTGTCAGACTCTGTACCATCATGGATATTTGTTCATACCTGTTGTCAGACTCTGTACCATCAAGGACATCGGTTTCTGCCTGTTGTCAGACTCTGTACCATCAAGGACATTGGATACTGCCTGTTGTCAGACTCTGTACCATCAAGGACATCTGTTCCTGCCTGTTGTCAGACTCTGTACCATCAAGGACATCTGTTTCTGCCTGTTGTCAGACTCTGTACCATCAAGGACATTGGTTTCTGCCTGTTGTCAGACTCTGTACCATCAAGGACATTGGTTCCTGCCTGTTGTCAGACTCTGTACCATCAAGGACATTTGTTCCTGCCTGTTGTCAGACTCTGTACTTTCAAGGACATCTGTTCCTGCCTGTTGTCAGACTCTGTACCATCAAGGACATTGGTTTCTGCCTGTTGTCAGACTCTGTACCATCAAGGACATTGGATACTGCCTGTTGTCAGACTCTGTACCATCAAGGACATCTGTTCCTGCCTGTTGTCAGACTCTGTACCATCAAGGACATTGGTTCCTGCCTGTTGTCAGACTCTGTACCATCAAGGACATTGGTTCCTGCCTGTTGTCAGACTCTGTACCATCAAGGACATTTGTTCCTGCCTGTTGTCAGACTCTGTACTTTCAAGGACATCTGTTCCTGCCTGTTGTCAGACTCTGTACCATCAAGGACATTGGTTTCTGCCTGTTGTCAGACTCTGTACCATCAAGGACATTGGATACTGCCTGTTGTCAGACTCTGTACCATCAAGGACATCTGTTCCTGCCTGTTGTCAGACTCTGTACCATCAAGGACATTGGTTCCTGCCTGTTGTCAGACTCTGTACCATCAAGGACATTGGTTCCTGTCTGTTGTCAGACTCTGTACCATCAAGGACATTTGTTCCTGTCTGTTGTCAGACTCTGTACCATCAAGGACATTGGTTCCTGCCTGTTGTCAGACTCTGTACCATGAAGGACATCTGTTCCTGCCTGTTGTCAGACTCTGTAGGTTCTACTACACCAAATCAGAACAAGTTTGGACAGTGCGGTTTTCGTAGGGAGCCTTCAGTGCGGACGAGAGATATCTGCAGGCTGTGATTGGAGGATATTCTGTAAGATTATTATGTCTTTCAAATGTACATCCATCCAGTTATAAAAACTGACCATGTTTTTCTATATTTAGTACTGTCTCTTTCAACATGATGACTTATGCTTTATGTGAGCATAGCTATTTTCAAGTAGGTGACATTTGGTGCGAAACTGGGGGTGGTGTGTTTAGCTTCCTGTACTCAGCAAAGGAGCTTGCTAAGCTGGTCATTTCTTATGTTTTTATTGCTACACTAAGGCCAAACTGTGCACACGTACAGGTTATAGCTGTTGAATTCTTAGTTATTTTTAAAAGAAATATAACTTTACTATAGAAGTCAATGGAAAACATTTGGTTGTGTGTAACCTGTAGGGTGAGTGCACATTTCAGTAATTCATAATTTACATGTTTTTCTGTTGATATTTCACCATGGATACACCATGGAGGCAAATTCAAAAATAATGACAGTGAAGTTGGGGTTGAATGGAGCATTTGGATGGCCTGGAAATGAATGTTGCTTCGTATTGTGGTCAAACTCAGGACGAACCCCAAGGGTACCTCTGTCCAACAAGCCCTCCTCCTGCCTTCTGAATTTGTTGAAACTGATGAATTTGACAACAAATTAGGATAGAGTCACCACTGCCACAACAATTTCTGCCTTGTGTCAATCGCTTGCCGGTCAAGTTACGAGATGCCGTTTTCTTGAGTATGAAGCATGTACACTGCTGACAGCAGAATATGTCACAAATCCCCTTATTAATAGTAAACAATGTAGCATACCAATACATCTTTCTGTTAGGTGCTTTTGTGTGAATGAAAGATGCTATTTTTCTATTAGGTTTCTTAAAACAGACTTATTTTTCACTCATATGACTTTCAAATATTTATTTTGTTCCCTCAAGAACTGACTCCTGGCTGTTATATCCAAACTGGTTTGCCATTTGATATTGTCTGAACACTTTTTTTCAGCTTTTAGCATGCCTGATGTTGACTGGGGAGGTATATGTGCACTCATGCAGAAGAAGTAGAAGTTTTCACATCCAATTTGGCATTTAGAGAAGCTGATCCGAAGTCCGGTGTTGGCAGTGTGTGATCGACAACCCTTGTTTTGCCTCGCTGCGCTCTATTACCTTGTAGAAGTTGTGGAACTTGGACATGTAGGTACATTAAGTACATTAAAGAAGCCCAGTCCACTTGAGGCCCCTCTGTTGCTCACTATCAAGTCTGTAATAAGATCACACTCATGCACTAGACATTTCTGACAGTGCTCCCTTAATGCCTCACTGTGCATAGAGTAAGGGCTATACACCAGTCCCAGAACCTGCTTAGATGAAAATAATATCCACTGGCTCTTTTGGAATGTAACATTATGGTTCTGAAATCATCTGTAAAGAATGTGATAGTGTTCGACAATACTGAATTATCTCCCCTGTTTAGTAAAATGCATTGTATCTTTCATTCCCCTATAAACCCATAAATTATTGGAGAGAAGCACTATTTTAAGCTGGTATTGCATGACACTGTTAATTGTGAATAAAAAGAATTACATTTATGTCAGGATAAGCTGTACATTTTCAAAATTATATGGACTTTTAACTTTGTTTCATTGAAACTGGCAAATAACTGAAATTAGCAAGTTTAGCCACCTTGAAACATTAAACAGTAAGTATGTTTGATGTCCGGTGAGTATTTTAAAGTCTTAAATAAATAAATCAATAGAGTTAAGTGTAATTTCCTTCCATGTTGTGGTTTCAAAGAGCTTTCTTCTACTTGAGCGTCCATTTCCATTTCTTGGCTTTAATAGGCGGTATGGTTCACTGGTCAGTGTTTGAGATTGCTGGCAACAATACACGCTTTTACTTCCTATTTTCTGGTAAAGTTCATTATCCAGCCTAACATATATGATGACTTTAAAGCTGCTTAATGTGTCCCTTGCTTATTGTTGGCCTGAATTCCATGCTCTGTCCAATTTTGAGATTTTTTTCTGATTCCTTTCCATGTGTACTTATGTCACCAGCCTACATCATAGGTGATTATACTATTGATTTTTGGAGTAAATGAAAGCACAAACATTTGTGATAGCCCCTTCATAGATGATTTACCAAATGCTGACAGCCATTTGAGTGTTTAAGTATATAAACAATGGATGGTGTAAGTTCAAGCAATCTCACACAATATCAATCGCATCAAAAACCAGGGTCAAAACCATATTCAATGAATGTAGCAGACTCTGCTATGTTCTGATGATGTCAGCAAAGGAAGGCAAACAACAGACCACTACTCAATTTTAAATATGTATTGTAACTGGTTTTGAGGTTTAAAGATTTGTTCAATTTTTTTAGTCGAAAAAATATTTTAGGGTGATATGATCTATGCAGCCTCAATCATTTATAGAATTGACCCCTGACCCCTTTCTTTCATGAAATATGAATTAACTCCCATGGTCAGTGCATGAAGGTAGAAACTTCTTTATTAATACAGAAATACCTTTTGTAAAACAAACATTGATGAAATGTACATCGTTAAACTCTCACAACTCTTTCTGTGCATCAAAACTATGTATTCTAGTGCCATATAGACATGCTGGATAGGAACAAGTAGTGAAGTTTAATCCAATTTCCATTTTTTTCCGAGAAGCTACATATATATACAATACATAAATCACAGATTTGACAAGTGCAAATGTATTCTGATTTGTCTACAGGTTCTACTACACCAAATCAGAACCAGTTGGGACAGTGCGGTTTTCGTAGGGAGCCTTCAGTGCAGATCGAGGGATATTTGCAGGTTGTGAATGGAGGATATTCTGTAAGATTTTTATGTCTTTCAAATGTACATCCATCCAGTTATTAAAACTGACCATGTTTTTCTATATTTAGTACTGTCTTTTCCAACATGATGACTTAATTTATAATTATACTGAATGTGAGCATAGCTATTTTCAAGTAGGTGACATTTGGTGCGAAACTGGGGGTGGTGTGTTTAGCTTCCTGTACTCAGAAAAGGAGCTGGCTAAGCTGGTCATTTTTAATGTTTGTATTGCTACTCTAAGGCCAAGCTGTGCACACACGTACAGGTTATAGTTGTTGAATGCTTAGTTATTTTAAAAAAAATATAACGTTACTATAGAAGTCTATGGGAAAAGATTTGGTTGTGTGTAACCTGTACCATCAAGGACATGTGTTCCTGCCTGTTGTCAGACTCTGTACCATCAAGCACATGTGTTCCTGCCTGTTGTCAGACTCTGTTCCATCAAGGACATTGGTTAGTCGCCTCTTACGACAAGCATAGTCGCCTTTTACAGCAAGCATGGGTTGCTGAAGACCTAGTCTACACTGGGTAGCCTAGTGCTTAAAGCGTTCGCCCGTCACGCCGAAGACCAAGGTTCGATTCCCGACATGGGTTCAATGTGTGAAGGTTATAGTTGTTGAATGCTTAGTTATTTAAAAAAAAATATAACGTTACCACAGTAGTCTATGGGAAAACATTTGGTTGTGTGTAACCTGTACCATAAAGGACATGTGTTCCTGCCTGTTGTCAGACTCTGTACTTTCGAGGATATTTGTTACTGCCTGTTGTCAGACTCTGTACCATCAAGGACATTGGTTTCTGCCTGTTGTCAGACTCTGTACTTTCGAGGATATTTGTTCCTGCCTGTTGTCAGACTCTGTACCATCAAGGACATTGGTTTCTGCCTGTTGTCAGACTCTGTAAGCTGGTCATTATGTCTCCCCCAGAATGGAGGGAGACATATTGTTTTTGGCACGGTTGCCGTCGGCGTCGGCGTCGGCGTTCCCACCGTTTCCGGTGCCTTTTGCTATTTAGAGATTTTTGACATTTTTATTTTTTCTCGTTTCCATGGAGATAACTTGAACATAGACTCTGAATGGGGGTAAACTTGGTTTCCGGACCATAACTCAGAAACCGTTTAATATTTTTTCGCGAAACTTTGTATACACATTAACCCAGCACTGAAGTTGTGCCTTTTGCTATTTAGAGATTTTTGACATTTTTATTTTTTCTCGTTTCCATGGAGATAACTTGAACATAGACTCTGAATGGGGGTAAGCTTGGTTTCCGGACCATAACTCGGAAACCGTTTAATATTTTTTCGCGAAAATTTGTATACACATTAACCCAGCACTGAAGTGGTGCCTTTTGCTATTTAGAGTTTTTTGACATTTTTATTTTTTCTCGTTTCCATGGAGATAACTTGAACATAGACTCTGAATGGGGGTAAACTTGGTTTCCGGACCATAACTCAGAAACCGTTTAATATTTTTTCGCGAAACTTTGTATACACATTAACCCAGCACTGAAGTGGTGCCTTTTGCTATTAAGAGATTTTTGACATTTTTATTTTTTCTCGTTTCCATGGAGATAAGTTGAACATAGACTCTGAATGGGGGTAAGCTTTGTTTCCTGACCATAACTCAGAAACCGTTTAATATTTTTTCGCGAAACTTTGTATACACATTAAGCCAGCACTGAAGTGGTGCCTTTTGCTATTACAGTTTCCATGACATCACATATGTCATTGTGTAGAAGACCTGCAGAGACAGATACACGGGCAATTACATCACAGAGACTTTTCTTTGTGCCATATAACATTGCTACATCATTTCTGATATGTTGGGGATATTAATATATTTGTGTCCAAACTCTATTAGTACTTTAAGTGGATTTTCTACAAATACTTCAGTAACAAGAAAACTGTGCTACTTAGATAACTACACTGTCAGGTGGGTAAATGATTGAGGGATTATTGGTGTTGATTAGACGCTGAAGTGGTGCCCATTAGTTGTTTGAAATTTCTAGGAGTTCTATTTTTGTCTCTTTTATTTAGTAATGGAGGGTGGGAATGAAGAGATGGGGTTTAACGTGAAGTAAACGAATGAATGAAGGTTAGGGGAGTGGGGGGAGACATATGTTTTTACGAGTAAAAACACTTTCTAGTTTTTAATGTTTGTATTGCTACTCTAAGGCCAAGCTGTGCACACACGTACAGGTTATAAACTAGTGTCCAAAAGAAACGATACCAACTTATTTTCAAAATTGTTTTTTACTAAGTGAATTGTCAAGTATGAAAACATGCCAATTCGTATTGCACATCCCAAACACAGCATAGTCCATAAAAAATACCGGGAACACGTGATCACTTCCGGGAAAAAACGTAAATTTCGTGAAAGTGACATTTCCCTCTTAGCATGTTCTGCACGTGCAGAAAAACTGTATAAAACGGCTGATCAGACACGTTGACATCACAGCAACAAAAAGAACACAAGATATGCCACGTTTGACAGCCATCGAGAGAGAGAGAGCCGTTGGAATGGTCCAACAAGGAGCGTCACACGTCAACGTCGCCAGAAGGTTGGGCTGCGCACGCATCACTATCACCAGGTTGATGCAGCGGTTACGTCAGACAGGTCAGACGTCAGACAGGCCCAGGAGTGGAAGACCACGAGTAACCACGCCCCGTGAAGATCGTTACATCCGGGTATTACACCTGAGGAACCGCACCGTAACAGCGACGTCCACGGCGGCTACAGCACTGGGACACAGGATCAGTCGACAGACCGTCTACAGGAGACTACGGCAGTATGGTATCCGGCCACGTCATCCCTACCGCGGACCGCTCCTGACGCCTCGACACCGGAACAACAGACTGATCTGGGCCAGGCGAGTTCGACGTTGGCAACGGCGGGACTGGGCACGTGTTATGTTCTCTGATGAGAGCAGATTCCTCATCTTTAGAAACGATGGACGGCAGCTTGTATACCGACGATTTGGTGAACGTTTGGCGCCTAACTGTATCCAACAGGTCCGGCCGTCTGGAGGTGGAGGGTTAATGGTTTGGGGTGGCATATGTGGTGACGTCAAAACGATGCTTGTCCTTATTCGTGGAAATCTGAATGCACAGCATTATCTTGATGACATCCTACGGCCTGTTGTGGTGCCCTTTATTCAGCAACAGCCTCGTGGACTCCTTTTCCAACATGACAATGCAAGGCCACACACAGCAAGATTGACACAGAACTTCCTTGCCAACGCCAACGTACAGGTTTTGCCATGGCCCGCATGTTCACCGGACATGAATCCCATTGAGCCCTTATGGGACCACCTCGATCGGCAAATCCGACGTCGCCGTGTGCCTCCAGTCAACGTCCAGGACTTGGAACGATGTCTCCTCGAGGAATGGCAACGCATCACTCCCAACGTCATCAGACGTTTGACGTCATCAGTCCGTAGGCGTGTTCTGGCATGTATTGATGCTCACGGTGGACATACCCGCTACTGACTTGACTTTGAGACGTGTGGTGTGACATTTCCCGTTGTTTCTGTGATCAGTGCTCTAACGAAATGTTCATTTTTTGACCCCACCCATCTTTAAAGGCTTGTCATATTGGTTGTACAGATTTTATTGAAATGAAATTTTTGTACAGATGTTGTGAAAGGATTTCTCAAAAGCATAACACCAATCCTAAACTTCTGCATTGTTTAGTTTTTTCTTTTATGTCGTTGCAAACAGGTGGTATCGTTTCTTTTGGACACTAGTTTAGTTGTTGAATGCTTAGTTATTTAAAAAAAAATATAACGTTACCACAGTAGTCTATGGGAAAACATTTGGTTGTGTGTAACCTGTACCATCATGGATATTTGTTCCTGCCTGTTGTCAGACTCTGTACCATCAAGGACATGTGTTCCTGTCTGTTGTCAGACTCTGTACCATCAAGGACATCGGTTACTGCCTGTTGTCAGACTCTGTACCATCAAGGACATTGGTTCCTGCCTGTTGTCAGACTCTGTACTGTCTGGGAGGCCATGCTCTGTTGCTGCTAGCTGTGTGAAGAGGTATTGCAGACATCTTTTTGAGGTTTTTGTTTTGTCTGATGAGTTACGGTAAGATAATTTGTTATGATTTAAGTTCACATCAGTGCACTTGGAAGTACAGATGTTTTTGACAGATTTCGTGACATGGTGCTCAGACATGTACATTTAACAAGATAACTGACTAGGAAAGGCTGACCATTTGCTTGGAATTGATGACATTTCAAAATTGTTCTCAGGAATCAACTCTGTCTTCATTGTTTCTACAGCTTCTTAAGTGCCACTGGAAGACATTTCTCAGATCTCATTATTGTGAAGTATTGCATGTATGGCATATTCCCAGCAATGATGTCAATATTTAACGAGATGTACATTTGACCCCATTTTTAGCATGACGGCTATGGTAGCCCTTTTGTAAACCTATTCTCAGCCAATTATTTAGTTTCCGATGAATTGATCATTAGTTTTCTAAATGTTCAAGAACTACATGAGCTACATGTCGTTATCTTAAAACTTAAAACTACAGAAAGAAAACCTCTTGATTCCATCACCTCAAAAAACATTACTTCTAAAATCTTCATAACAATTTTTGGGGGGCAGCTTGTCACAACATAGGACACATTTCATGAAGGGGGCATGTTTTGTTTGTTTGTTTGTTTGTTTTTTAACGCCGCACTCAGAAGTATTTCAGCTTAATGATGGCAGTCTGTAAATAATCGAGTCTGGGCCGGACAATCCAGTAATCGACATCATGAGCATCGATCCACGCAATTGGTATATGATGATATACATCAACTAAGTCAGCAAGTCTGACCACCCGATCCTGTTAGTCGCCTCTTACGTCAAGCGTAGTCGCCTTTTACAGCAAGCATGGGTTGCTGAAGACCTAGTCTACACTGGGTAGCCTAGTGCTTAAAGCGTTCGCCCATCATGCCGAAGACCAAGGTTCGATTCCCTACATGGGTTCAATGTGTGAAGCCCATTTCTGGTGTCCCCCTCCGTGATATTGCTGGAATATTGCTAAAAGCGGGGTAAAAGCATCCTCACTCACTCACTCACATTAACAAGACTCTCAGGTTCAAACTTTGCTCATTTCTCTCATGCTGTTGACCACAGTAAATATTGATTGCGGCACCACGCAACACCATATCCAACTTTAATTAGAAGAATATTCGGGGTTTAAATCCAAGATATGACCAGTTTGTAGGGATGTAGCAGTACAGGCGTTACACGATGTGATACATATCTTAATACAGAAGCCACCATGTGATTTGTATCTCAATACTGTATCTATGACATTCTATGAGGAAATCCCAGTCATTAGACTGAGAATAGAGTTTCATAGAAGGACAACTGACTAATTCCCATCAAACATGACAATGAGTCAAGCCAACCATTCTGTATGAGAATAAGATAAGAAACAAACAGTTTATGTATTGTATTATGAGTCAGCAAGGAAAAGCTGGTCAGTTTTGTTATTGGGCCGGTTTCGTATCCGTAGGACGGCCAAAAAGTTATGAGGAATTTAAAAAATAGTTTGTACTTGCTTATTCATATAGATGAGAGATCATCATGGACAATGGATACGGGGTTAAATGGGAATCGATGCCAAATTAAATGTATCGGGTATCGTATCGTGCAAAGTTTGCTGACGATGCGCCTGTTTCCCGATGAATTGCAATAACACTACCAGTTTTGGCATGCTCTTTGTTGAGTAAAACATGACTGGCACATGTCTAAGGCAGGTAAAGGTTAGACTTGGCATAGTCTGCTTTTGAACTGAGTTTCAGCCATGGTAATCTTGTTAATCCAATGTAGTTTTTCTCAAGATTAATTTGCGTTTTGCTGACTACGCAATTTCAGTGTGGTCCTGTGCTCCCCATTGTCGTATTGTTCAGGTTAAGAGGGTCATGGCCTGGGACCATCTACACTACAAATGTTTGGCAGCAGGCGGAGATTTCCAAGTTGGCACAGTCACTGTTTCAAACCTGTGTGACTTTCATGGTCCTCTATTCATGTCGGTCCATAATAGTGGGCAAGTCTAGATTACTGCAATATCAGGAAATGAAGAGCCTCTGGGCTTCTTTTTATTATTTCTTAATTAAGATGATTTACTAACAATTTTTCTGTAAGATAAGTTTATTTCAGAGATTGGTCTAGGTCCTCTAGTCATGTGATGGTTTTGTTATTTTCAGATGGTATTCAGAAATGCCTCCAAGGAGTGGGTGCTGTTGCCAGGCTATGCCAAATGAACATTTCTTGTCCGACAAGGGGAGGCATCGCCAGGTAAACATGGCTTATGTCACAGTTGACCATTGGACAGTGATGAATATGGTCATCGATGAAGACAGATGTGATGTTTATTGTAGGCCTGGATGATTGTTTGAAAAGTTTAGTGTGAACCTAAAGAAATAATCAAACAGCAAAGTTTTTGTAAAGACTTGTTTTCGCCACATACCTCTACACGAAAATGTTTGTGAAGATATTCTAAACGAGTTGTTAAGATGAGCTGTCAGTGTATTCAATTTCTGATATCTGGGACTCTGGCGAAAGAATTACGTACCATAACATGAAACAACTCAGATGGAATAAAATGATTATTCTGAAAGGCTCTGATGCAAGTTATTTAAGTGGTTTGAACCATTCAACCTGTCTCTATTCTTAAAGTTAAAAATAGAAAAAATAAAAAGATTATTCTTGATTCATATTTAGATATTGTAACAAACAAGCATGTTATTGAGTGGTAAAACTAACTGATTGTCAGTGAAGTGTATTGACAGATTTGATAACGTAGGCTAGCTGTCTGTCAACGTAGTCATTGATTTCGCTGGCAACATATTTGTTTTGTAGGTTTTCCCTTGTCACAACGTGTGTTTTTCTATCATGTTGGCATCTATTGATAGTATCAAGTATTCTCTTTGGGTAGAAGGATAGTTCTGTAATTTGATATTGAAGGAAAAGTACCTCATGATTATGTATTTTGTTACAAGTGATTGAATGATCCTCTGTAGTGTGAATGATCCTCTGTAGTGTGAATGATCCTCCGTAGTGTGAATAATCCTCTGTGGTGTGAATGATCCTCTGTGGTATGAATGATCCTCTGTGGTATGAATGATCCTCTGTAGTGTGAATGATCCTCTGTAGTGTGAATAATCCTCTGTGGTGTGAATGATCCTCTGTGGTATGAATGATCCTCTGTGGTATGAATGATCCTCTGTAGTGTGAATAATCCTCTGTGGTGTGAATGATCCTCTGTGGTGTGAATGATCCTCTGTGGTGTGAATGATCCTCTGTAGTGTGAATGATCCTCTGTAGTGTGAATGATCATTTGTGGTCTGAATGATCCTCTGTAGTGTGAATGTGTGAATGATCCTCTGTTGTGTGAATGATCCTCTGGTGTGAATGATCTTCTGTGGTATGAATGATCCTCGGTAGTGTGAATGATCCTCTGTAGTGTGAATGATCATTTGTGGTCTGAATGATCCTCTGTGGTCTGAATGATCCTCTGTGGTGTGAATGATCCTCTGTAGTGTGAATGACCCACTGTAGTCTGAATGATCCTCTGTAATGTGAATGATCCTCTGTAGTGTGAATGATCATTTGTGGTCTGAATGATCCTCTGTGGTCTGAATCATCCTCTGTGGTGTGAATGTGTGCATGATCCTCTGTAGTGTGAATGATGCTCTGTAGTGTGAATGATCCCCTGTGGTGTGAATGATCCTCTGTAGTGTGAATGATCCTCTGTAGTGTGAATGACCCTCTGTGGTGTGAATGATCCTCTGTAGTGTGAATGATCCTCTGTAGTGTGAATGATCTGTGTAGTGTGAATGATCCCCTGTGGTGTGAATGATCCTTTGTGGTCTGAATGACCCACTGTGGTTTGAATGATCCTCTGTAGTGTGAATGATCATTTGTGGTCTGAATGATCCTATATGGTCTGAATCATCCTCTGTAGTGTGAATGATCCACTGTGGTGTGAACGATTCTCTGTGGTGCGAATGATCCTCTGTAGTGTGAATGATCATTTGTGGTCTGAATGATCCTATATGGTCTGAATCATCCTCTGTAGTGTGAATGATCCACTGTGGTTTGAATGATCCTCTGTAGTGTGAATGATCCTCTGTAGTGTGAATGATCCTCTGTGGTACGAATGATCCTCTGTGATCTATGATGCCTCATTCATTTATAGAGTTGACCCTTGACCCCTTTCTTTTATGAAATATGAATTAACTCCCATGGTCAGTGCATGGAGGAAGAAACTTCTTTATTAATACAGAAATACTTTTTGTAAAACATTGATGAAATGTACATCATTAAACTCTCACAACTCTTTCTGTGCATCAAAACTATGTATTCTGGTGCCATATAGACATGCTGGATAGGAACAAGTGGTAGAGTTTAATCCAATTTCCAATTTTCCATTTTTTTCAAAGAAGCTATGTATATATACAATACATAAATCACAGATTTGACAAGTGCAAATGTATTCTGATTTGTCTACAGGTTCTACTACACCAAATCAGAACCAGTTGGGACAGTGCGGTTTTCGTAGGGAGCCTTCAGTGCAGATCGAGAGATATCTGCAGGCTGTGATTGGAGGATTTTCTGTAAGATTTTTATGTCTTTCAAATGTACATCCATCCAGTTATTAAAACTGACCATGTTTTTCTATATTTAGTACTGTCTTTTCCAACATGATGACTTAATTTATAATTATACTGAATGTGAGCATAGCTATTTTCAAGTAGGTGACATTTGGTGCGAAACTGGGGGTGGTGTGTTTAGCTTCCTGTACTCAGAAAAGGAGCTGGCTAAGCTGGTCATTTTTAATGTTTGTATTGCTACTCTAAGGCCAAGCTGTGCACACACGTACAGGTTATAGTTGTTGAATGCTTAGTTATTTAAAAAAAAATATAACGTTACTATAGAAGTCTATGGGAAAAGATTTGGTTGTGTGTAACCTGTACCATCAAGGACATGTGTTCCTGCCTGTTGTCAGACTCTGTACCATCAAGCACATGTGTTCCTGCCTGTTGTCAGACTCTGTTCCATCAAGGACATTGGTTAGTCGCCTCTTACGACAAGCATAGTCGCCTTTTACAGCAAGCATGGGTTGCTGAAGACCTAGTCTACACTGGGTAGCCTAGTGCTTAAAGCGTTCGCCCGTCACGCCGAAGACCAAGGTTCGATTCCCGACATGGGTTCAATGTGTGAAGCCCATTTCTGGTGTCCCCCTCCGTGATATTGCTGGAATATTGCTAAAAGCGGGGTAACTCACTCACTCACTCACATTAACAAGACTCTCAGGTTCAAACTTTGCTCATTTCTCTCATGCTGTTGACCACAGTAAATATTGATTGCGGCACCATGCAACACCATATCCAACCTTAATTAGAAGAATATTGGGGGTTTAAATCCAAGATATGACAAGTTTGTATGGATGTCGCAGTACAGGCATTACATGATGTGATACATATCTTAATACAGAAGCCACCATGTGATATGTATCTCAATACTGTATCTATGACATTTTATGAGGAAATCCCAGTCATTAGACTGAGAATAGAGTTTCATAGAAGGACAACTGACTAATTCCCATCAAACATGACAATGAATCAAGCCAACCATTCTGTATGAGAATAGGATAAGAAACAAACAGTTTATGTATTGTATTATGACAGTAAGCAAGGAAAAGCTGGTCAGTTTTGTTATTGTTTCGTATCCGTAGGACGGCCAAAAAGTTATGAGGAATTTAAAAAATAGTTTGTACTTGCTTATTTAATAGATGAGAGATCATCATGGACAATGGATACGGGGTTAAATGGGAATCGATGCCAAATTAAATGTATCGGGTATCGTATCGTGCAAAGTTTGCTGACGATGCGCCTGTTTCCCGATGAATTGCAATAACACTACCAGTTTTGGCATGCTCTTTGTTGAGTAAAACATGACTGGCACATGTCTAAGGCAGGTCAAGGTTAGACTTGGCATAGTCTGCTTTTGAACTGAGTTTCAGCCATGGTAATCTTGTTAATCCAATGTAGTTTTTCTCAAGATTAATTTGCGTTTTGCTGACTACACAATTTCAGTGTGGTCCTGTGCTCCCCATTGTCGTATTGTTCAGGTTAAGAGGGTCATGGCCTGGGACCATCTACACTACAAATGTTTGGCAGCAGGCAGAGATTTCCAAGTTGGAACAGTCACTGTTTCAAACCTGTGTGACTTTCATGGTCCTCTATTTATGTCGGTCCATAATAGTGGGCAAGTCTAGATAACTGCAATATCAGGAAATGAAGAGTCTCTGGGCTCCTTTTCATCATTTCTTAATTAAGATGATTTACCAACAATTTTTCTGTAAGATAAGTTTATTTCAGAGATTGGTCTAGGTCCTCTAGTCATGTGATGGTTTTGTTATTTTCAGATGGTATTCAGAAATGCCTAAAAGGAGTGGGTGCTGTCGCCAGGCTATGCCAAATGAACATTTCTTGTCCGACAAGGGGAGGCATCGCCAGGTAAACATGGCTTATGTCACAGTTGACCATTGGACAGTGATGAATATGGTCATCGATGAAGACAGATGTGATGTTTATTGTAGGCCTGGATGATTGTTTGAAAAGTTTAGTGTGAACCTAAAGAAATAATCCAACAGCAAAGTTTTTGTAAAGACTTGTTTTCGCCACATACCTCTACACGAAAATGTTTGTGAAGATATTCTAAACGAGTTGTTTAGATGAGCTGTCAGTGTATTCAATTTCTGATATCTGGGACTCTGGCGAAAGAATTACGTACCATAAAATGAAACAACTCAGATTGAATAAAATGATTATTCTGAAAGGCTCTGATGCAAGTTATTTAAGTGGTTTAAACCATTCAACCTGTCTCTATTCTTAAAGTTAAAAATAGAAAAAATAAAAAGATTATTCTTGATTCATATTTGGATATTGTAACAAACAAGCATGTTATTGAGTGGTAAAACTATTCATTGTCAGCAAAGTGTATTGACAGATTTAATAACGTAGGCTAGCTGTCTGTCAACGTAGTCATTGATTTCGCTGGCAACATTTTTGTTTTGTAGGATTTCCCTTGTCACAACGTGTGTTTCTATCATGTTGGCATGTATTGATAGTATCAAGTATTCTCTTCGGGTAGATGGATAGTTCTGTAATTTGACATTGAAGGTAAAGTACCTCGTGATTATGTATTTTGTTACAAGTGATTGAATGATCCTCTGTAGTGTGAATGATCCTATGTGGTGTGAATGGTCCTCTATAGTGTGAATGATCCTCTGTGGTGTGAATGATCCTCTGTGGTCTGAATGGATCTCTGTGGTGTGAATGAATCTCTGTAGCGTGAATGATCCTCTGTGGTGTGAATGATCCTCTGTCGTGTGAATGATCCTCTGTAGTGTGAATGATCCTCTGTCGTGCGAATAATCCTCTGTGGTGTGAATGATCCTCTGTAGCGTGAATGATCCTCTGTGCTCTGAATGATCCTCTGTAGTGTGAATGATCCTCTGTAGTATGAATGATCCTCTGTGGTCTGAATGGATCTCTGTGGTGTGAATGAATCCTTGTAGCGTGAATGATCCTCTGTGGTGTGAATGATCCTCTGTCGTGTGAATGATCCTCTGTCGTGTGAATGATCCTCTGTCGTGCGAATGATCCTCTGTAGTGTGAATGATCCTCTGTGGTCTGAATGATCCTCTGTAGTGTGAATGATCCTCTGTGGTCTGAATGGATCTCTGTGGTGTGAATGAATCTCTGTAGCGTGAATGATCCTCTGTGGTGTGAATGATCCTCTGTCGTGTGAATGATCCTCTGTAGTGTGAATGATCCTCTGTCGTGCGAATGATCCTCTGTCGTGTAAATGATCCTCTGTAGTGTGAATAATCCTCTGTCGTGCGAATGATCCTGTCGTGTGAATGATCCTCTGTCGCGTGAATGATCCTCTGTACTGTGAATGATCCTCTGTGGTCTGAATGATCCTCTGTAGTGTGAATGATCTTCTGTGGTCTGAATGATCCTCTGTATTTTGAATGATCCTCTGTGGTCTGAATGGATCTCTGTGGTGTGAATGAATCTCTGTAGCGTGAATGATCCTCTGTCGTGCGAATGATCCTCTGTACTGTGAATGATCCTCTGTGGTCTGAATGATCCTCTGTAGTGTGAATGATCTGTGGTCTGAATGATCCTCTGTAGTGTGAATGATCCTCTGTCGTGCGAATGATCCTCTGTCGTGTGAATGATCCTCTGTAATATGAATGATCCTCTGTGGTCTGAATGGATCTCTGTAGTGTGAATGAATCTCTGTAGCGTGAATGATCCTCTGTCGTGTGAATGATCCTCTGTAGTGTGAATGATCCTCTGTGGTCTGAATGATCCTCTGTAGTGTGAATGATCCTCTGTAGTATGAATGGATCTCTGTGGTCTGAATGGATCTCTGTGGTGTGAATGAATATCTGGAGCGTGAATGATCCTCTGTCGTGTGAATGATCCTCTGTAGTGCGAATGATCCTCTGTCGTGTGAATGATCTTCTGTCGTGCGAATGATCCTCTGTCGTGCAAATGATCCTCTGTGGTCTGAATGATCCTCTGTAGTGTGAATGATCCTCTGTGGTCTGAATGGATCTCTGTGGTGTGAATGAATCTCTGTAGCGTGAATGATGTTCTGTGGTGTGAATGATCCTCTGTCGTGCGAATGATCCTCTGTCGTGTGAATGATCCTCTGTTGTGTGAATGATCCTCTGTAGTGTGAATGATCCTCTGTGGTCTGAATGATCCTCTGTAGTGGGAATCATCCTCTGTGGTCTGAATGATCCTCTGTAGTGTGAATGATCCTCTGTCGTGCGAATGATCCTCTGTCGTGTAAATGATCCTCTGTAGTGTGAATAATCCTCTGTCGTGCGAATGATCCCCTGTCGTGTGAATGATCCTCTGTCGCGTGAATGATCCTCTGTACTGTGAATGATCCTCTGTGGTCTGAATGATCCTCTGTAGTGTGAATGATCTTCTGTGGTCTGAATGATCCTCTGTAGTGTGAATGATCCTCTGTGGTCTGAATGGATCTCTGTGGTGTGAATGAATCTCTGTAGCGTGAATGATCCTCTGTCGTGCGAATGATCCTCTGCACTGTGAATGATCCTCTGTGGTCTGAATGATCCTCTGTAGTGTGAATGATCCTCTGTCGTGCGAATGATCCTCTGTCGTGTGAATGATCCTCTGTCGTGTGAATGATCCTCTGTCGTGCGAATGATCCTCTGTTGTGCGAATGATCCTCTGTCTTGCGAATGATCCTCTGTCGTGTGAATGATCCTCTGTCGTGTGAATGATCCTCTGTTGTGTGAATGATCCTCTGTCGTGTGAATGATCCTCTGTAGTGTGAATGATCCTTTGTGGTCTGAATGATCCTCTGTCGTGTGAATGATCCTCTGTGGTCTGAATGATCCTCTGTCGTGTGAATGATCCTCTGTAGTGTGAATGATCATCTGTGGTCTGAATGATCCTCTGTAGTGTGAATGATCCTCTGTAGTATGAATGATCCTCTGTGGTCTGAATGGATCTCTGTAGTGTGAATGAATCTCTGTAGCGTGAATGATCCTCTGTCGTGTGAATGATCCTCTGTAGTGTGAATGATCCTCTGTGGTCTGAATGATCCTCTGTAGTGTGAATGATCCTCTGTAGTATGAATGATCCTCTGTGGTCTGAATGGATCTCTGTGGTGTGAATGAATCTCTGGAGCGTGAATGATCCTCTGTCGTGTGAATGATCCTCTGTAGTGCGAATGATCCTCAGTCGTGTGAATGATCTTCTGTCGTGCGAATGATCCTCTGTCGTGCAAATGATCCTCTGTGGTCTGAATGATCCTCTGTAGTGTGAATGATCCTCTGTGGTCTGAATGGATCTCTGTGGTGTGAATGAATCTCTGTAGCGTGAATGATGTTCTGTGGTGTGAATGATCCTCTGTCGTGCGAATGATCCTCTGTCGTGTGAATGATCCTCTGTCGTGTGAATGATCCTCTGTCGTGTGAATGATCCTCTGTGGTCTGAATGATCCTCTGTAGTGTGAATCATCCTCTGTGGTCTGAATGATCCTCTGTAGTGTGAATGATCCGCTCTTGTGTGAATGATCCTCAGTGGTGTGAATGGTCTTCTGTGGTGTGAATGATCCTCGGTAGTGTGAATGATCCTCTATAGTGTGAATGATCCTTTGTGGTCTGAATGATCTTATGTGGTGTGATTTTTCCTCTGTAGGGTGAATGATCCTCTGTGGTTAGAATGATCCTCTGTGGTGTGAATTATCATATGTGGTGTGGAAGATCTTCTGGTGTAAATTATCCCTTTATAGTGTGAAGTGTCCTCTGTAGTGTGAAATATTCAAATGTTGTTTGAATGATCCTCTTTAGTGTGAATGATCCTCTGTGGTCTGAATGATCCTATATGGTGTGAATCATCCTCTGTAGTGTGAATGATCCTCTGTGGTGTGAATTATCATATGTGGTGTGAATGATCCTCTGTGGTGTGAATGATCCTCTGTTGTGTGAATGATCCTCTGTAGTAAGAATGATCCTCTGTAGTGTGAATGATCCTCTTTGGTCTGAATGATCCACTGTGGTGTGAATAATCCTCTGTAGTACGAATGATCCTCTGTAGTGTGAATGATCCTCTTTGGTCTGAATTATCCACTGTGGTGTGCATGATCCTCTATGGTCTGAATGATCCAAGTGGTCTGAATGATCTATGTGGTCTGAATGAACCTCTGATAACCACTCCCCATCACTGATCCATCTCCCCATCACTGGCCCATCACTCCCCATCATTGACCCACGACTCCCTATCACTGACCCATCACTCCCCATTACTGACCCACCACTCCCCATCGCTGACCGACCACTCCCAATCACTGACCCACCAATCCCAATCACTGACCCACTTCTTCCCATCACTGACCCACCACTCCCAATCACTGACCCACCACTTCCCATCACTGACCCACCACTCCCAATCACTGGCCCACCGCTCCCCATCACTGACCCATCACTCCCCATCACTGACCCATCACAGACCCACCACTCCCAATCACTAACCCACCACTCCCAATCACTGGCCCACCACTCCCCATCACTGACCCACCACTCCCAATCACTGGCCCACCACTCCCCATCACTGGCCCACCACTCCCCACCACTGACCCATCACTCCTCATCACTGGCCCACCACTCCCCATCACTGACATTTGGTTGGAAGTATTCTCAGGTGATAGGAATTCACAGTTGTACAAATGGACTGATTGTGTAAATATCCCGGTGAGCGATACAGGCCCCATGGACCTCTTGTTTTGTTATTGGAATGCAATTTCTCTTCGCTGTCGCTGGCACCAGTCAAAGCTCCCCACTGTGATGGTGACCACAACCATGCTTGGAGTACAACTCGCAACCGACTGACCATTTTGTTTATAATCAAGTGATGACTTCCGTGACGCCGAATATACACTTACCTCAGCTAATAATTATTGCTTTGTCAATTTGAATTCAATTTCGTATCAACTATCATATAATTGGTAGAGTAGGAATGTAAGGGGGAAGTTGGGTGATTTTATTAAACTGGTTCCATTGTTGGTGCGCCACGCAAGGTTAGCGCGATTTAGTTTAGGTAGACAGGAACCCAGTCTTGTGATTTCATGTTAGTCTGCAATCTCGATCCAGAGATCCAAAGAAAAAGGTAAATTCCAGAGCTCAAGATAAGCTGTGTATTTGCGTAAAATACGCATTAAATAAACTGAACTACGCAGATTAATCAAATCCTAGCGTATCAAATACGCAACAAAAACTAAAATTT